TGGTCTCACAGTTGTAATTGATCTGTGTCCATTAAGTCATACGGTTAAACATACGTAGACGCTGACACCAAACCAAAGGCGGTGATCTGTGGTTGCAACGAATGTTGACTTTGCAGTTACTGGATCAGAGGTTGAAACGCTGATGGCGAAACCACTGCGAGAGACCGTGTGTGCAACCCCCTGTGCGGGCCCAGACACATACGCGCAGGTTACCGTCGCATTAGCTTGTGCCCGTTACATTCGAGGACGAATAACCTGAAAACGCGTACGGTTCCGAGGCCGGGTTGAACGTAGCTCTCAGTCGCACACAGGCCAAAAGAAAATGAGGGAAATACTTGTAGTTCAGAGAGCGGCACTTTGCTGAAATCATGCGGGTGCCCGTAGAGTAAACGACGGACAAGAGCCTCGGAGACGGTCGTCTGACGGGATGGGGGAGGGGAGGGGGGCAGGATGTTTCCGTCGCGTCATGCTTCGTGGCCGCCACCTCGAAGTAGGGAGGGGGCAGACCGGATGGCTGACAGATTTAAATTACCTGCTGGCGCCAGTGTGACACCGGCGCCCCGTCGAAGCTGCGGACAGTAAAACGTGAGGGCCTGACGCTTATGAGCGTGGGAGGAGGAAGGGAGGGAGGGAGGAAAAGAGGGATTGTATTAATTGTAAGACTGTCCATTCCGGCCTTGCCGCAGTCGTTTCTGTGTCGGGTTGTCTGCCTCCCCTTCTGTAGTGTTGTCGGTGTGACTGAGAGGGTGGAGGAGGGGTCAACAGGTGTGCCAGCATCGAGGGCTTGCCAACTGCGGGTTCAGGGGGAGTGACGTCGAGTAAATTGGCGCCGTGTTCTAATCTCTTACGTGCTGGGACCAAATTTTTTTAGGGAACGGACAAACAGGCTCAACCCCTTCAACCTACTTACTTAGCCATTAAATACGTAGGAGAGAAAGTGCCCAGCATAGAAACAAGGTTCCACCGAGCACTACGCAACCTTCAGGAGGATGGGGCGAGGTAGGTCTGCCAGGAGGGGAGCACACAACGGTCAACGAGGTAATGAGAACAAAGTAAGAGGTTGTTGGCGGGGAGAATTGGACAGTTAAAAGAAGAGCAAGTGAGATTCTGTAAACAGCTGTTGTGCAGAGGGTGGAGTGGGCGACCTGTTTAAAAGACTATAATGGGTTAAGTAAGCTTCCCTCCGGGTCTTCTGGCATACCTCAGGTCGCAGTGCTTTTACGCCTTGAAGCTAATGGTTCGGGTTACTGAGCCCGGTATTTCGGAGGAGAAATGCCGAGGGCGTTCCAAGCACTTAGTTAAAAATCCCAATACAAGGACACGCAGTAGCATTTATTCAGTAAACCACCCCTCCGGAAAACCTGTACCGCATTTGTGGATTAAAAGCGTGCTTTCAGATAGCCCTCAGCACGTGGAAGGACAGTTGCGTTAGAAGGGTCTGCTGCCGGAAAGACCAACGAACCTCTAACGGTTGATCTGGCGGCAAGCGATGAACGCCCAGTATTCGCATTAGGGGCAAGTGGAGAAAAGTGATGAAAAGGTGGAAAAATAAGTCGAGATATCTCAAGAATCCCTCTACTTCCGAAGTGACTCCCAGTAGGAGTCCGCAAAACACTGATTTGTTCAAGCACTTCATCTACGTTTCATGGTTTATGTAAATAGATGTTTTGGCAGATCTTAAATAATTCACATTGACCCATGTGTGAAGAACTCGGCGGCTCGGTGAGATTCGAATCCACAAGAGCAAGGGGTGACTTTAGTACAACCAACACCTCTGAATTACGCGAGCCTAGTAATCAGCTGGTGGATTCTAAATGTATTACTTAGGAAATCCTGCTTGGGCAATCAGCTTATGTATCACATTTGGTGGATTCCAGAGGTTGCAGTAGGCTGCGCGTGTAAACTTGACACAAATGTGATTAAACTCGCGTCGTCCAGTGGGGCCTCGTAGCTCGGATAGTTAGAGCGTTGGCCTGACCTTTCTGTCGTGTGTTCGAATCCAGCCGAGGTGCCCAGTTTTTCACATTAATAGCTGATGTTTTAATAAATCGGTTTGGCAATCCAGCTCCAAGGAAGTCGTCCTCAATGTTACTTGGGGTCTGAGTTTACGTGGATTTCCGTTCGGTATCAAGCTGAAGGCCGAAGAAACGAGGGACTGACAGGCCAAGGAACAGCGTAGACCTCACGAGGACAGTTAAGTCAAAGTTGGTCAGAAATCCTGTCGAATCCACAAGTGAGACGGTCGGACTGACGAAACTCTCTGGGGGCTTCAGTTATCGCATCTTTCCCTTATTTCCTCTACGTTTTGCAGCAGGAGCTTAGGACTCGCAAAGTCGCCTCCTATTCGGCAAAATTGATTCTTACGTAACAGGATTTCAAGCCAATTCACACCCGTGGCTTGCTGACTCTGGTTTGGCGTCTTTATAGACTACCTTATTAGCATACATGTTACATATGACTTTCGATTACTGCATAAGTTGGATTATATTTCCCAGAAGGAGCACAGCAGAATATCATACTTGAAAAACGAGAATCTTTTAGTCATTCAAAAAACTGTAATTGTTAAAATTCCCAGATGACAAGGTGGACCGTGGGGTCTGTTTACCACGCCTGTACTAAGGCCTCACAGCAAATATGCAGCAGGACCAATATGCGTCACACACACATATATATATATATATATATATATCAGGTGAATAATTTCGGAAATTAATCAGTGCAGAACTTGGAGTTAAATCTCCGGGACATGACTTTTTAGGGTCAGAACCGAAATTTCAATGAACATTTGAGTCGAAGACAATCAACTACTGTGGAATAACCACGTAATGCCCATTCTACAAACAAGTAGTACTACGAGTAGTATGAATTTCATATGGTAAAGGTATTATACCGTACTCCCGAGCTAGATACTTGCTAAAAGCCCAGACACGTGTTTCGCCGATATTCTGCCGCTGCGTGACACAGCTGCGAGGGGTTCGGCTCTTCAGTGGGATCCCCAGCGTTCTCTAGCGGTTTCTGGTATATGAACTCCAGAGAATAATCAGGTGAATAATTTCGGAAATTAATCAGTGCAGTGCAGTCGGAGGATTTAAGCGCACTTGAGGCGATCCTTCATTTCATCATATTTGCTCTGCAGGAGTACTTCAATGATCCCGATTGCCAGATATTTGAGAATATATGTGAAGATGGGGTGAGACCGATAAAAGGTGGACATCCTTTAACAGGATATTTATCCCTTTAACTTTCTCTATGAATAATGTCGAAGAACTGACTGTGATGCCTGGATCGCCATTCGGAAATTTGAGATCCCGAAACAACTACCTTGCCATTCCATAATTTGGAGTGAAGTTGAGTGATATGGTGGGCCGGAGGGAAGGGCGTCCAGTATGCACCACAGGAAGGTCACAGAACTGGATCAAGACCGTTCTATGTGCTCTGATCATGCGTCGGTCAATCAACAATATTGCACCTGAGTTCTCAGTTGTCAACAGCGCGTTTATTTTTCATGTCAGGCTGGATTCTCTGGGGACATAAAATAGCGGTCCTCAAATGGATTTTTGGACCTATGAAAATAGTCAGTGCAGTCTAATGTCTCCTCGATCTCGCTTTCCGCCTATATCAAGATCTTGGGCAGGGGTCGAGTACGCTGTCCTGGTTCCAAATTTAAACGCAATGTGGGCATGAAAAGTAAAAGAAGCCGAAGATGGATGATGAAATCGGCAATATGGAAAGTAGCCGAGGCTGAAACCGAAAAATCAACCTGATGTATGACAAACCTGCCGCGAGATTGAAGGAAGCCTAGGATCACCGCAAAGGACCTGGCTGACGGAACAAGTGGGGCAGCAATACCTCGAACCTCAAACGGTAAATATAACCGTAACCTCAAAAGTAAACTCAATGCTTAACGGAATTATAAACCTAACACTAACCCTAAACTTAAAACTAAACCTGACCCCAAACATGCTACAAACCCTAGCCCTAACCCTATGCCTAAACTTAACCCTAACCCTAAGCCTAATCTTAACCCAAGCCCTAACCCCAATCTTAACACTAAACGTAAACCTAAACCGCAATCCAAACGTTAACTCTAACCGGAACCCTTAAAATTAACACAAGCTCCAACTCTGAACTCATTTCTCAGTCCGACACTAATCCGAACCCTAAAACTAACTCTGTCTCTAAACCTGAGCATCAGGTTACCCTTTGGCTACTTTCCTGCTAACGATTTCAGCATCTCCTTTGACTTTCTTTACTTTCAACCCTCCCATTGCGCTTATACTTGGTACCAGGACAGCGTAACCGACCACTGCCGCAGCTTGATAAAAAGGTTGATTTTAAGTCTTTTAAATAAAGTTTCTAAGCTGTCGCGTTGTGTTATGTGACTAGACAGGTGTCTACTTGAGACACCTGACCCAACTGTAGTCTTTTGATCGTTATCATTTTGGCTGAAGTTAATGGGGGAACCGAGTCAAGCAGCTGAAACAGGATATGTCAGGTTTGACTTCAACATTCATCGAGACGTTCGAGATAATGACATTTACATTAGAAGCTTTAGTTATACCGAAAATCGCAGGAGGACCACTATATGATGTACTGAGCAGTCCAACCGTCGTAGTTGCGCCGTGTAGTTGCAACGGATAACCAAAATAAGTGCCCGAGCTTTTAGCTGGTACCCGAATCGAGAACGCGTGCAGTTTCTCTGTCGGTTGATATCTCTGTTCCAGACAGCTCAGTCACGCGAAGATACCAGCCGGTGCAGCACTAAATCCCACAAGATTCAACGCAGGAAAGGGCACAGATATAGAGCCTCTGAAAACGTACAGTCTAGGCCAGAGACTAATAACTGTGAGGGGCAAGGGGATTTGCATCCCGGAGCAGACATGAGAGTTTAGAGGGGTTAATGCAGTAGCAGTAACAGCAGCAGCAGCAGCAGTCCGCGCTGCAATCCCACTACACCCAACCCCAGTTCTCCCGGCCCCCTAGAATCGTCTGCTTGTATTTCAGCCTACCTTTTGTCGCGCTCGGTTTACATTGGCTGCTCCGGCGCCACCAACAGATGTAGATGCCGGGGCGGCTGCTACGGCGCTTCCCGGTGAGGGACGGACTGTCGTCTCCAGACTGCTCTGGCATTGGTAGACAGCGCCGGTCGCGGTGGTGACGACGGGTATAGCGACGGAGGGGGTGGACGAAGGGCCATTGTTCTCATTGAGCAGGGAGGGTGATCGAATCTGACAGGCCCCGGAGGGTGGGGTGGAAGGGAGGGGCAGGCTGGAGCAGGAGCCCCCCAACATGTGCCGG